TGGCGCCTACCCTGCTGGCTATAGGCCTTGGCCCACAGCCAGGGGAGGAGCAGCCTTGGAATTCTGGCCTGACTGAGGCAGGAAATGGGGTGGGGGAGGAGAGGGAAAGAAATCCCAGAGAAGAGCCTCATTCCTCCAGCTCGGCCTCTGTTTGAGGATTAAAGGATTTAAAGCATTTATTTTTATTGGAATTTCGAATCAAAACATTGTAATAATAGTCTGTGACCCTAGCAAGGTCATCTTCGCCTTCAGTAAAGATATCACAGAGCACCCTGAGGGACCGTATGGGAGCCCAGTGTCACCCCTCCCTGTCACATGGAGGGAGCTGCTCTACAGAACTGCTTCAGACAATCCTGGGACCTCCCGCCACCTCCTGCTGGACTCAGCCTGGACATTGGGCAAACAAGCTCAGTGGGCCTCCCAGGAAGGGGGCCCTGCAGCATTTGTGGCCAACTAACTCTTCGCCATGGAGATGGGGCTGGCCAGGCTGGTGGACTCCATGGGCCACGGAGAGGGTGGGGTCGGGTGAGGTGCTGGAATCCACCAGCGCTATAGCAAGGCTTTGCCATACATCCGCCCACCACCGCCTCCCTGCAGCACCTGGGTGCTGGGGCCGGCCTCAGCCCACCACACTCCACTCACTGAGGGGGAGGAGTCCTGACCTGGCACCTTAACTGGGGCAACATTGAAGTGCAGCAGTTTTGTGCCCGGATGATCCCTTGGAGTGCTCCCTCCCGAGGGCACCTGGGGCTGTGACACCTTAAGCCCCTCTGTAGGGCCCACTGATAACCTAGAGCTCCTAGGGCCCCTTGAGCACGAGGTCAGGTCTGAGATGCGTGAGAGGCTGGGGGCTTGGGGAAACTGGGCTTCCAAGATTGCCTGGAAATCCCAGTGCAGTTCCCAGAGGCCAGGCTCAATGAGGGGCTTGAACCCTATACCCCCACTCCACTGTCCCATGTGGACAATGACCTCGGCCCTCCCTGGCTGACTCTGGAGGTTTACAAGGTGGAAGAGTGGAGAGGTTGGTTAGGACTATTCAAGGGCAAGTTTTTATGGATCTCTTCCCACCCTTTGGTGCTGTCTGGGAGATTGATCGGCTAATAAGGCGTTTCTGTTCCAGTCCGATGACCAGACGGTGTGAGAAAGGGAGGAGGCCATCAGTCCAGCCTGGGGGCGGAAGGAAGCCACTATAAAACCACAAATGTTCCCAGGCCCAGCATGGCTTCCAGAGCCGCCTGCTTGGATACCCGGTAGGCACCCAGGCACCTGGCCTGTGTCGGGGACGAGCCTCAGGGCCCTCTTGGGGTCCAGAGGGAAAAAGGACTGGGATCAGGGTCTGGCCTCTCAGACCTCGTGACAGCACCAGAAATCCATGTGTGTCTGGGCAGGGGTGTGTGGGTACATGCTTGTATGTGTGCGTGCGTGTGTATCTGAGGGTGCATGCTTGCAGGGGAGGGGAGGCAGGGTGCAAGATCCACTGTGGAAATGCAGATAAAGACCTCTCTGACCACACATTTCCATCCCCCCACAGCTTCAAAACAAATGTGGCCACTGCAGCGTGTAATTTGAAATAAAACAGGCTAAGGATTGGCTTCTTAGCCCCAAGGACTTACCAGAAATGGGTACTAGGACTAGCTGCCCTTCCACCCAGC